TCCCTGCCTCATTGATCACGTGAGAACTACCACACCTCCTGTAGCCAACTTCAGAACTGCGATTCGGAAGGGGGTCGTAAGCCATAAAAGAAATAAATTCACTAATATATAATTTATTGTTGACATTCTTTCATTTCCTTCGCTCCTCCGTTTTACTCATCATCTCCTGTGTAACCCATGGTTTTCTTGCTATCTTCTCAACTTTACCAACCAAATCACTGATAGTATCTAACATGCATTCTTTTATATTGTTCCACTGCGCTTCAGCATTTCCATTTTCACCTTCAATTGCACCGAGTTTCTCTTCTGGGGTCTCTTGCACGCTTTGTCTTTGAGCATATAACTTCTCCAAATCACATCTGGGTCTGCGCTTTCGAAATCTTATAATTTTCTTCAACCTGGTTCGGAACTTGGCAACCAGTAAGTTGTGGTCAGAGTCAATATCTGCCCCAGTAAGCGTCTTCACATCCTTCACACTATTTCTGAATCGATGTTTCACAAGGATGCAGTCCAGCTGATGCCTTCTCCAATCCCCAGGTGCCTTCCATGTGTAAATTCTTCTGTTTGGCTTCTTGAATCAAGTGTCGGTAACAATCAGTCCATTTCTTTCACAAAAGTCAACAAGTATTTGACCCCTGTGATTCCGTCTTCCTAGTCCATGTGATCCAATAACATTCTGATATTTCATATATTGTGTAATAAATTCCCATATAAAAATGTATCTCTTCTGTTTCATGTTTCGTATAAAAACAGATAAAACTATCCCAGTAACAGGCCGGAGAGGGAAATAGGGTTTCGAACCATCGAGGCTTCCACGTTTTGCAGAGAATCAGCTCACAGATGGCAGAAATGTTGTCAGCCTTACGTGCAGGTCGTTTACCCCTAGAATGATTCCTGGTACTCATTTCTGTTAGAAGCTGAGTCGACCCCAGAGCCATAGTGCTGCTGGAAGAATTAGGTCACTTGAAAAATCCAATGGTCTCATCGGGAATCGAACCCGCAACCATTTGACTTCCGGCCTCAACCAACTACGGTACCGCGTGCAACGTTCCTTTTCCGTTGACCGGACCTAATATTGAAAGGGCTCGAGCAAGTTGTCGCCGTTTTTTTTCTTCCTTTTTTAATTCGCTTAGAGGAGTGTGGAATACAGCTGGGTCCATTCGGTACGGCGGCCACTGATTGGCTTATTGTAACTGCCCGGGTGATTATGATGCTGGAGGATTTTGGTGGAATGAAGATTGGCAGGGGAAACCGAAGTACTCGGAGTAAACCCGTCCCAGCGCTACAATATCCACCACAAATCCCACTTTACCAGACCCGGGATCGAACCCAGGCCGCCGCGGTGGTAAGCTAGCGACTAACCGCTTGAGCAATGACGCGGCCTAATTTGTCGAAGTTAGTCCGTATTCCTGCCAAGTGCCTTACAACTGTCGTAAGTCTCTACGCCTACGCCTCAGTCTGTTCTTCGCAATGTGCTGCGCAGTTGCATGTGAGGTTCCTAACTTGCGCTGTCACTAAGCAAACACAGAACTCCCTCTAGCAACAGTACCCCAGTATGTATTCACATCTTGTACTGAGTGTAAGAAAGGTGGGTTTAATCTGTCTCTTTTAAATGCTGTTCAGTCTGTCCTTACTGCATGTTATTATCTGTAAACACGGTTTTCATGTCACTCTAATACTGTAGGCTAGTATCTGTTTTTATTGAGCTTATCGCAGACTTCTTGTTTGTAAAACACTTTTCTATTGAGTCCATACTGATAAGGTAAAAAATTATCAGCGTCGCCATGTTTGTGTGATTGATCTTCTCTCACTCTCTCTCTATCTCCCCGTCTCCTATTTCTCTCTGCTCTTAAAATATGGAGAAGTAGTAAACAGAATATTGCGGATGTATCCTGAAAGATTCTAAATTATTGTCGGGATATCCGTTTACAGACCAGGGAAACCCCGACAAATATTTAGAGTCATTCTGTATATGGCAAAGACTTACCGAAACTGCCGACTCTAAAATTTTGTTCAAAATCGGAGAGATATAAGGAACACTTCATATGGAAACTCAACATTAGGTTCTGCGATGCTAACTAAGCAAAAACGCTTCCAACAAAGGCGGTTGCAGGAGTTAAACAGGTATTTTATGCCCAATTCACAATATAATTACCGAGATACGAAGCCACAACTGTTATGTTATACGCACACAGTGGTAACTACGTATATATTGAACACCTCCTTTAACATTAAAAAGAATCTGCATATATGAATGCATATAGGACTATGTTGGGAAAGCCAGAAGTAAAGAGCTCACTGGGAAGACAAAACGTAGGTTGTGTACAATATTAAAATGGATCATAGATAGATAGAATGAAATTTTATGGACTGGATCGATCTGGCTCAGGCTAGAGACCAGTGGTGGGCTTTTGTGAACACAGTAATGAACCTTCGGGTTCCATCAAATGCTAGAAAGTTCTTGAATAGGTTCAAAATTACCGGCTTCTCAAAGAAGGCTCAGCTCCATGAAGTTAGTTACGTGTATTGGCGGTGTATATGCCCAGTAGCGTAACAGGAAAAGCCTGGATTGGCGTGTGTGCTGGTTTGTATAGAAATGCGTCATTCCTGTGGTTCCCAAACTAGGTGCCGCGCATCGATGTTTTGTGCGCCGAAACATTAAAATCCGTGAGTGTAAAAATCACTGGTATGCTCCAAATCTGATGAAATTCTAAATGTCCTTGTACTTACGCATCCAGAAAAGGCAGTTCAGTTAGCAGAAATTATGCAGTTCAGATGTCTCAAGATTAGGCAGCCATAGAAATTAATTGCTGTACATATTATTTTTTCAAATAAACTGAGCCCCTCACACTCCTACGTTTATCGGAGTGGCTATTTGCGACTTAAATTACACAGACGCAAAGAAATGCAAAACCTACGAATTACAGCTCTCAATATTACACGCTTTTATGGTTTGAGATCATTAGTTAAACATCATACAGTAGTATGCTCACTGTGAAGTTATGTAAAACTGTTTTGTAGCTTAAACTGAATGTTTCGGAAGTTATATCAAAATACTGGTGCAACCATGCCCACGGTAGACAGTTCTGTAGAAATAAATAGGGAAGAACAATGTAATGTAATATGTGTGTGATTATAGACGGGGTTTTGTGTGGTGAATGAATTTGTTGACCACTTATACACACGACTCCGAACTCAAAGCTATTAAGGTGTAATCTCTAATCTCCATAATTTAGTAATCACCAGAGCACCGACTACGCCTTTTTCAGCCTGTTGTGTTTTCACCAGCGGTTCCCTGGAAAAGGCTTCTAACAATGGAGATCCTTCAGTTTTTGTGCTCACACCGTTGCCTGCTGGCTAATACTACTCACAACTGAACTCATTGTTCTAACTCTACTGCTTATATCATCTCGGCAGGAACCACATATATATCACCCGTTTCCAAAATAACTGTATTGTTGCGCGCGTATTCGTTGTTGCGGGAACGTATTCACCGAGCCGTTGCCGAGAATCCGTCGTTTACAGAGTCGCTTCTTAGCAACGGGTCTATACGCCACAATAGCAAACGGACTTCCCGATGTTTGGTTTTATTTCTTAACTTGTAAACGGGTAAAGAGTGTCCTCAGTGCGTTGTTTGTCGTGAAGTTCTCGCAGACCATGGCTTCAATGCAAGAAGTTTGCGTAGGCGCCTAACTTCAGAACAAGAATCTCTTGCTTATANGAAACATGTAGTGTGGCAGTAAATAAAAAACGTGTTGTGTGGTCGGTAGATTAACTTTAACATTCGTCTAGTACACAACAGGATGCAAGGAACAATAAAAGTGTGTTATACTAACTAAACTATACCAACTTTGTCACTTGAACAATAAACACCAGTATCAGAAACTGTACGCAGTACCTCTTATCAATAATTCTGGAACTGTACAGTGAAATACCTCTATCTCGGAAAACCGTTTGGAATATAACACACACACATACATACACGTGTATATATATATTGTAACGTATTTCGTTACTGAAGACGCCGTAGAGATGGTTAACTGGTTTATTTAACAATCTTCAAATAACGGCTACAATTAATTATCACAATATTACGGGTTTCCACACTTTACAAACCCTACAACAAAAACTCTTAACACTATCTTCAAGAGTCTTCACGTATTAATAACGC